TCGAGGGTTGGTTTCACACTGTGAATAAGTGTCTTAAGCTCTAACCAATGTGTATCCCCTCGATACCCAGCAAAGCATGAATCACATGTTACGATTTCCTAACTATTAGCACTAACAAAGCATAGCAGTCCTAATGAAAGCCTTTGAACACCGAGATTTGACTGAGTCAAACTTTGATAGCATGAGGTGTCCTGTATCGTTTTCCAGTCTAAACTTAATACCAAGGTCCTCTATGGTGCGAGATAGCCATGATTTATGCATGTTAAGGTTGAACAATTAGCTTTTCTACTTATGCGTGACCGCCGACTCGTCCAACATCGCTTCGGCTTTTTTACGGCTATTGACATCCAGACTCAGTACAGATCTCATTGAAAAGCTTGTAAGTAATCTGGCCAATCGGTACGCGGGTTCATATGCGTACCGCATGAAATCTGGCCCGGCCGACTTCTCGAATAGGTACTTTATTTCACGATCTTGTGCGCTTGACGGCTCCTCATTAGCTGTGTGTTCGCCACACTCGTTCCAGGAATTCAAATTCCAGAGCCATTCCGGTGGTGTACAGGACATGAAAGTTGTATCAATTATGCTCACTTGGGCAGTCGCACCAGGTGGGACGTGGAAAAGTGACAACGCCATTGTATCAAATTACTTAGATTGATACCTGGCACAACTGGTTGATAGTATACGATGTAATGAACGAATTCAATCGTACTTCTATGATCGCTCATCTTCACTGCCCCCCACATCGCCCGAGTCGTCACTTCTGATGAAAATTGTTGTTGATCCCAAGGTGTTGGGGGTAATCTGAGGAAACTCTCCCTTTCTGGTATGTGGGGTGTAGTTGCGGGGAAGTTTCCCCTCTGGCGTGCTTCCCCTTGTTGTTTAGTGTTGAGACGATCCCATTTCTGCTACTAGTGTGGAATTGTTGCAATACCTATATAACTAATGAACAAAAGGGGGATTGCCATACGGTCACTCATATTACCCCAACGTCGGTTAGTCATTGGCTAACAACAGGTCTTGCGGGTCGAACCAGATCATCATTTAAGGGGATTTACACGAGGCCTTACCTTGGGGGGTTAGGGAAATCAAGAATTTAGTATGCCAAGACCGTCTAAGAAAATTCTTTGAAGCAATTTTAGTATATTTCTAATTCATACCATGATATCACGGGCTAACTCTAGATTGTTCACCATCATCCACACAAGAGGTAAGCCGTTGAATGCTCGGTTCCTTTGACCGCCCCAGGCCAAACCAGTAATCTACCTAGCCCAGCACACTTAGTGGTTTCCGCATATTCGCAATGAATTTTGGATGAACGTGTTATGGTGAACAGCTAAGCGAATCTAGAGACACAGTTGATAAGTGTAGTCATTTAAAGAAGATCTGATCCGTACTCACCTTCTTGCCGTAGATATACAAAACAAGTCCGTAAATGCAACCTAAAACGTGGATTGTACCGATGATGAAGAAGACATGGATAGGGCCACATTTAGCCAACCATGTATTTACGAAAAAGGCAACAGCAAAAGTCATGATGCCCTTGACGAGAGTAACGGCCGCGTAGGCATCTTGAGCATACTTCCGATGGCAATCCAGGAGATAGGTATTAGACACCAGAGATAGGATCGATCCAGAAAATCCAGCTACTCCAAAGAAGAACACGGGTAGGAACCAGTGGACGCGGTAGTGTATAGCTAAGCCGAAACCCCAGTATCCAATGATCCCAGTGAAAAGGGCCGGAATACAAAGGACATTTCGGAACTCAGGCTCATACACGCCTTGGTTCTTCCGGGACATGAAAGTAACTAGCCAGTCTGCGACAGGTCCCGGCACAAAGTTGCCGATGATGTTGGCAACAAATGGCGAGAGAACAGTCAATCCCACAGAGCTTGTCGAGAAGTTATACGGTGGCTTCATAAACACGGATGACAAATTGACAGAGATTGCAGCCGAAAATGCCACCGAGCAACCATAAGAGTAAGCTGCCCATGATACTCCAGGTAGTAGGTAGGTGGCAAAAGGTGAAAGGACTGCCTTCAAGTAGTTTTCCTGGCTGTAACGACCGTTGTAGACTTTCAGAGATTGCCAATATGTTGTTCTCCTCTCTTCAAAGTTGGCATCTGGCTCAGAGACATCTACGTGAGACTCGTCCTTGGACTCTTCGGTGGGTCGATTGGTATCGCTAAGCTGATCAACCTCGTTTGCGAGAATTTCACGAATATCAGTATCGAATCTGCTTGGGCGGTTGTAGGTGGTCTCCTCAAGCAAGAAGAAGAGGGCGGTAATATATGCCGCTTCAAAAATGACACTGTTATTATCTATTAGTGACAAAAGAGCATCCTCGGTTTTCTATTTACTTACGCGTAACGGAAAGCCCATATGTAGGACTGTCCGGCGACAACCTGGCTTGCGATGACCTGCCCGAGAGAATTTCCACCAGCCAAGGCAAAATGCCAGATGGCTAGATGGATTCCTCGCTGATGCACGAAAAATAGATCCCCGACACTGGAGCTGACGAGGTATTCGAGAGCACTCTGTGAAGCGCCCCATAATGCGCGACCAGCATATATATACTTGATGTCCTCTGGGTTGATAAGGAGAATTCCATATCCGAGACAGCCAAGAACTCCAAGGCCCAAGAACACGGGACGTTTGCCGTAGATCCGAGCCAGAGGAGTCGTGAGCACACTAGCAATACCCATACATAACATCAGTACGCTGACACTACGAGATAATTGCATTACAGAAGTCCCAATCTGCTTTGCAATGGTGGAAGCCGAGGGATTGAGGAAGTAACATGTTCCAGAGCCAAGACCTGTACCAAATGAAAGTAGAAAGCTGTGGAACAGCTTTTTCTTGTGCGGCCAGTCTGAGAGAATTTGTATCAATACAGCCCTCGAAGTTGTTTTACGCTGAAGACTCACTCAATGGGTCATTGATGGAATCGGATGGCTGCGGCACGAGAACAATATCCTCGTCATGACCCGTACCGTGCTTGAGATTGGCAGTAAGGGATCGCAATTGTTCAGTGTCGCGTTCGACGTGGACGGTGCCAGGGACCTTCTCGGTCGTGTTTGGTTCAAGGACCCACAGTCCCATCTTGAAAGATTGCTCAACGGAATTTGGACAACTTGAGTCAATCAAAGATGTATATGTTGCTTTTGTTCAGCAGCGGACGAGGTGTGTTGGCCTTTATTCTGATACATCCTGCACACCGAAGGACAAGTCTTCTTATAAACAACATTCAATCTCGATGAGAGAGAAACTTAGGTCATCACGCAATAGACATAGGCAATGATCTCAAGCGACTAGATCTCAAGTATCAGCGACTTAATGACATAGAGCGCAGGGTCGTCTTGGATGCACAAATGCCCAGCGATATAAGCAGCTACCATTGTTAAGGACCATAGTACAGGTTGAAAGGTGGCGCCGTTGATGACTAAACGAGCGACGCCGACGGGTGTAGCGGGCGGGAATATTCCTCATGAAGCATCGCCGAATATGAACCATTGATGGCTGAGATGAAGAATTAGGCGATGATTCAACGAGCGGCACATGCACCGCGGCAACGCGGAAACTAGCCACCTAGGTGTTGATCGTTGACTCAGATACTGAAAATACATACCTCGTAGTTTGAGAGGCCAGTTCGGCCAAGATGGAGAGCCGCCGCATCCAAGTGCCGCACGCCATAGCCCTTCCCCGGCACGTCATAACGTGGCACTTGATCTATCATGCCTTCAAACAGTGAAAACACTCTTATCAGGCCCAATTCGACATCACCGAGAAGGTGAAGACAAGATTCGATAGCTAGCCTCTCCACTTTTCCCGGTCAGCCCAGCCCAGATGCCTGGTCACTGTATCATCATATCACATGGCACGCCATCTGCACAGGGAATAACGCTGCCTTAGCTCCTAAACTAGTATCTCAAGTAGAAAGAGTAATGAAAGATCCCACATGCGGGCAATAAAACATTCATTCTTCATATCATTTGTTATACGAAGGTGAAGTCTCAAAGGTGAAATTGAAAAAGCATACCATCATGGTACCTAGCATTGTCAGAATACCAGACAATGGCACTATGTACCTTGCAGGGGCAGCACTATTTATCGCAATCCTGGTGGTAAGCTATAAGTTTGTTTACGGTGTCTTAGTAACTGAGCTGACGGGATTGGACAGCACATATATCGACTTCTCACAAGCCCAATCTCTCAAATCCCGGGCACATGGCACTCAAAATGGACCGATGCGGCTGTGAAGCACCAGTGGCTCAGTGGACGCCGGGCATTTTATGTGCAACAACTGCATGATCAATATGGTGTGCAGCAAGCTGTCCATGATCGTATATAAATGCCTGCTAATGATGATATTGAAGGCCCTATTGTCCGTCTTGGCCCCAATGAGGTTGGCTTCTCTGAAATAGATGCTGTCAAAACCATATATTCAGTAAAAACCGAGTATCCGAAGTCACCCTGGTATCAGCGGATGGTGCCCTATGCATACGATAGTGTCTTCAGCACTAGTGATATCGAGTTCCATAGACGACATCGCCGGCTCTTGTCTTCGCCACTTTCTGTATCTGCTCTCAAGCTGGTGGAGCCTGTTGTGCACCAGCGCACCGTGCAAGCCATAGAGAAGATGGCTGAGGAGTTCAAGTCGCGTGGCGTCACTGACGTATTCAAGTGGTCATTATTCTTCAGCACAGATGTTGTTGGCGAGTTAACATTCGGCGAGTCGTTCCGCATGTTGGATTTGGGCAAGGTAGCTAGACTCTTGACACAGAAGGCAAAGACATGGTCATTAACGAGAAGCCTTGAAGAAAAACCAATATATCTTGAACCTGGAAACCAACGCCAAGTTGAACGGTCTGAGGTCTACATTCCCGGCACTCGTCACCATCGGCAAGTATGTGCCTCTGCCCCTTTTCCGCAGAGCCGCCCAGGCGACACGACAGATGAGGTCTTCCGCGCAGCAGTCCATACAGCGCTACAAGCGGCTCATGGCTGCAGATCCCTCTACGAAACCGACGCTGTTTTCAAAACTATTCAAGGCCGGCGAGGAGGGCCTTTCAGATGAAGAGATCATTGCTGATGCGCAGGCGTACATCATTGCTGGGAGTGATACCACGGCCGTTACCCTTACTTACCTGATTTGGGCGGTATGCCGGCACAGGGAGGTCAAGCGAAATCTGCTCGCCGAACTGGCAACGCTGCCACACGACTTCAACGCAGACGATCTCAGCGAGCTGCCTTATCTGAACCAGGTCATCGACGAGACTCTACGTGTATATGGCGCACTGCCCGCTGGTCTACCAAGAATCGTGCCCCCCGGCGGCGCGAACCTGGCCGGCTACTGGGTCCCGGGAGGCACGACAGTCACGGCGCAGGCCTACACGATGCACAGAAACCCGTTGGTGTATCCGCGGCCGGAGACATTTGACCCGTCAAGGTGGGCGACGGCAACCAAGGCAATGAAAGATTCATTAATGCCGTTTGGGCTGGGATCACGCAGTACGTTGCCCTCTTCCGTGCTGTCAAGACGCAACGAGGCCGTCGACTACAAGAGCTAACCTCTGGCCATTCAGTCTGCTTGGGTCTACATTTAGCACGCGTGGAACTCCGGCTTGCGGCAGCTTTGTTCTTCCTCAGATTTCCGAACGCAAGGGTCGCGACGCGAGAGGGCATGACGGACGAAGACATGGGAGAGGTTATCTACTTCCTTTTGGGGCCTAAGGGCAGACGATGTCTCATCGAGCTCGAGTAGTTAGGAGCGAGTTGCTAGGAGGTGTGTTGCGAGGCTCAGAGTGCGCCGGAACACATCCGAGCATATCTGAATGGGAGCTCACTTCTGATGCTCTCTACAAGAGTTGTCGAATTGCTCAGCCTGGGCAAACCGCCATGTCCTGTAGGACAATCGCCAAAGTGTGGCGTTGGGAAGAAGGTTCCATTATTTAGGAGTAGAAACACGAGTCTTTGTATTTGCCGAGACATAATATTTATATATAGGACGCGACTGAAATATTTCTTTTTTGCCTTTTTTGTGCTAATGCGGAACGCAGTCTGAGGGGCATGAGAGACATGTGAGAAAGAATTGAGACATTGGAGTCTAACATGTCTGATAGTACAACACCTCCCTTTTTTTCACTCAGTTTTACACAGGTCATTCCGTAAGCCTCCGGTCGTCGTGATCCATTCTAACGCAATGCAAAACGGCGACTAGGAGAACCGATGGCCTATGCGAGGACCATCAAACGTAGATCGGGCGAGGAGCAGGGGGTGGAGGAAGCGAGGTTTAGAAGCACGCGATTGCGATAACTTCGGAGAATTTAGACCGGGTTATTAGTACCGTGCAATGACGAGTAATTGTCAAGACTTCTTGACAGTCACTGCGGCGAAACATCTAGGCGAGTCAACGATGTCGCACTCACTAAAACATTGTAGAGGCCACAAAGGGGAGGATGTACCGCTACATGCACGATCTCGATGCGCGTTGACAGCTCTCATGCGTTGCGGGATGGACAAGCAATCAGAGCTGAGGGGGTTTCCCAGAGAGTCTCATGAATCTGGGGAAGAGCGAGACGGAGCTCAGGTTCGGAAGAGTGGTGGAGCTGTGGAGATGTTGGTCTTCTGATCGCGTCGGCGGAGCATCAGCGGATGCGGTGCGGATCCCAACGACGACTCCCACCGTCGAAGTGGCCAACGAGCGAGGCTTGACCAGGCTTCAGGCTGGGATGTCGGACCTCCTCCTCGTCTGTGACAGACGGTTGGCTAGACGGCCGGGCTGACTCTGTTGCGGCCGGATTTTCATCGTGACGAACTGTTTACGAGAAAAACAAGGCGATTCGGCTTACGGCGAACACTGTACAACACCCTAACGATAACGGTGGCGTCAATGCGGGGAACATTCAGACCGAGAGCAGGCCAGTCTTCGCGGCCATGTCGAGCCATCTTCTTCTGATGAGGAAGAGACACCAGATTGGATGCACCACAGTGCTGCAAGCGGTAGCATTAGCCAGGCCAGATCCCAGGATGCCAATGTGACGAGATTGACAACAACACCTTTGGGAGCGGTTGATTTGAAGAAATGTGTGTATTGTCATTTCTTTCAGGGACTCGCCTCAATTCTCGGATCCAAGCATTGCAGGCGTTGCAGGCGTAACAAACCCCTGGCCAAACCCCTCCCTGGTCGCATTTCCAGGGGCCTCCCTGGCTCAAGCTAATCTCTCCACGAGAGGCTGAGATCTGCATCTGCCGTGTGTGCGCGTGTTCCTGGCCTGGCTTGAGTACTGAGCTGCAGAAGTGAGTGAAATAAATGAGATGCAGCAAAATAAACAAGCAGCTTGGGGAGGTAGGCTGGCTCGGCTGGCTGTAGGTGTAGCGTAGCCCCATCCGCGATATTTGAGTGACACGGCCATCTTCCAATAGCCAGAGCGCGTGTCTGCACTTGACAAGTCCGTCGCTCCTTCCTTTGTTTACTGCTTACCCAGACTAGTACACTCTCCTCCTCGGTTATTAAGAAGGAACGATAGGATCCTGACCGTAGTTCCCTGATCAGTCTGTCTACCTTACCTGAGTTCCTACCTAAAGTGTTTAGTTTCCGCATATGCAAATGCAAATGCAGCTGCACCCACTTCACCTGAACCAGAACCAGAACCTGAACCTGAACATGCAGCATGCAAAATGCAGTTGATCACGAACAAGGCATCTTAAAAGCAACTCTTAAAATTCAGATCACTGCTCACCCTAAAAGGGGTTCTCAGACATTGCTCTGAGCCAAGGGCAGCCTCCTCCGGATCTCCGCGAAAATCGATACCTTACCGTGCTCTGTACGGCATCTGATTGCGTGCAGGTGGCTCTGGAGAAGACTCCACCTGACTCAGGCGTCTTTCGCCATCGCCGCTCACCCACAGACCTCGGACGGAAGATTGATTTTCGTCGCGCCAGCCAGCGATCGCACGAACCTCAGCACGATTACCTAGACCAGACCGCCTACTTACCTAGTCTGAGGCCTAGTCTCATTTGCATCTGCCGCATCATCTCCCCCGTCCTCGCTTTGCTTGCCTTGACCTGCCGGACGCTGGGGATCCGAAAGCTCCAGGTACTTTCTTACTTGCATTGGCCTGCTCGAAGAAACAAGGAGAAAAGAAGAAAAAAACGACAAAGCTGCAGCAGCAATCCACAATATCAAGAAGTCGCAGCTGCAGGCTCGTGATAAGACCTACATTTCTAGCTACATATTTGTTGCATCTTCTGGCTGCTGCCACTGCAGCATCGCTACGCTATAAGACTGAGCTGCTAATAGCCTCCATTCCTTTTCAGACAGGGAGCAGCACTTTTCAGTCGCTTGTTTCCTGCCACCTCCTGGGCTCATCCTCCGCCCCTTGCTGATCGCTCCTCGACCAATCTTCTGCGGCCTGCTCATCCCTCCTATCGCGTTGGGTTGGCTCTGTTGGAACCGTGCTGCTGCAAAGTCTAAAAGGCCGATCCAGCCCACCACCAACAACCACAGAGGCAACATACACACCACCCACCCAACGGCACCACCGCCCGCCCGCCAGAAAGGGATCCAACCACAATCGAGCATCCTCGGGCTGACCTGCGCAATAGTTGGGGACCCTTAATAAGGCAACAGGCACAGCCGGTACCCGGAGCCATCCAACAGGACTGTCAAGTGTCAATCATTCAGTCTAGACAATTTAGACTAACCCCTTCCCGCCCATCCATCCTTCCTTACCTTGGGCCTAGCCCACGCCAGCGCCCGAGTCAAGCCGCCCAACGCGATTCGAGAGTCGGTCCAAGCCAAGGGGGAAAACTTTTGACAGGCAGAAAATAAACCGCTTCTGGGTTATTATCAGCAGCATACCACCACCACCCCTCGTGCTCACGCGGCCATGAGATTCTGACCAAGGAGTTTGGGTTCCCTTGTTGCAGATTCGGTTTCATTGCTGTGGTCCGTCGATTTTCGGTTGTCTTGGGACTGATACTCGAGCCTCTCACCACTCCTCCATACACTCGCTGTCCGCAGCAATGGCTACCACGACACCGCGCCGAGTTTTCCCCATCACCGATTGGGCACCAGCACAAGAAGCCATATACGCCGAGTCATCCTCTTCTTCGACTTCTGTGATGAAGAGCCATACCTTCACCGACCAGCATGAGGTCGTAGCGACCGAGCCCAGGCTGCGCAGTCTGAGCATGTCGCTCCCCTGGCGACATCGGCCCAAGTCCTCGGTCTTCCACTTCGACGACATGGAACAAAAGTTCCACGATTTAGCCCTCGAGCGAAGCAAGAGCCACAATCTCGATACCTTGTTCGATAATGAGAACGGCAGTTCAAGCGGACACGGCACTGACAAGGGCAAGAAGTCTATCGGCGGCATGATCCGACGCGCCTCCGTCTCCCTGAAGGGCTTTGTCCATCGACGAACCTCCATTGCCACGTCGACGGCCGAGGAACACCACGAGACGCAACGTCAGTTTCTGCGAACCTCTCACGCACACTCGCACACCCTGTCGCATAACCCTTTCTCGTCCGTTCAGCCGCATGCGCGACCGACTACCAGCCACTCGACTTGGCATCGCCTCCGTCAAGCTGCCAGCTTCCGACACTCGCGAGTCTTGTACGGGGAGCATCTCGAGCAAGCTGGCCTCGCTCCTCCGCGTGAGGACTCTCCCGATCTCGCGCCGGCCATACCTGTGCCAGTACCAGGATCTGGCAATGAACCGCCAATCATCCCACACAATACTGGCTCAGGCGCGAGAGCGGCAGCGGCGGCGTGGCAGAACGAGTACCATGGCTTTCACGGACTGACCGTAGTAAGCCCAAAGAACAACTGGCTCTCGCCAGAGGATGGGCAAGACGACCATGAGAGTGGGATTGGGATCGCTGTTACAAGCGCCGACTCTGACATAGCCGGCGATGATGAGATGCAAGACCTCGATCTGGTCACCTCAAACGGCGAGGAGATTCTAGGCTGTGCGCCTGAGATCAGTCGCATTGATTTCATCTCGCAGCTGCCCACCGAGCTAGCAATTCAAATCCTTGCTCATCTCGATGCGATCGCTCTGTCCACGGCGAGTTTGGTGTCTAAGCAGTGGAGCACGGTGATTTCGAGCCAGCACATCTGGAGGGAAGCATTTCTACGCGAGAAGACGGCCACCTATGCTACGAGTGGTCCCATCCAACCCGGGGCCGGGCTGGGTGTTCCACCGCTCCAGCTGGGCAATAATTGGCGTAAGATATACCGGGTCAAAGAGGAAGTGGATAGGAGATGGAAGGAGGGCAAGGCGACACCGGTCTATCTCAATGGCCACTCGGACAGCATCTACTGCCTGCAGTTCGACGAGTATGTCAATCTTTCTCCACCTCTTTTCTTCCAGTCCTTGCTAACCACTCAACTCTAGGGAGAAAATCATTACAGGTTCTCGTGACAAGACTATTCGCATCTGGGATATGCGAACGATGGAGTGCAAACTCGTCATCGGTCCTCCTGAGGTGGTCAATGAGACTTCGATGCTCTTCGACGAAAATGGCCAGCCGACTCACTATGCAACTTACGAGCATACCACGCCCACCACCGATGTTACGCCCGCGACTCGCACAACTTCCGTGCCTGCCGTTGGAACGTTTTCCATGCATCACAAGGCGTCGATTCTCTGTCTGCAATATGATGAGAACATTCTGGTCACTGGCTCTTCTGACGCGACGTGCATTGTCTACAATGTGAAGAGCGGTTATCGTCCTATCCGCCGCCTTCGACACCACAGTGCTGCCGTGCTCGACCTGTGCTTCGACGACAAACATATCGTGACATGCTCCAAGGATATCAGCATCTGTGTCTGGGATCGCGCCACTGGTGCCTTGCTGAAGCAGCTCCGTGGCCACTCAGGTCCTGTCAATGCAGTGCAGATGCGTGGTAATACGATTGTCTCTTGCTCGGGCGACTTCCGTGTCAAGCTTTGGAATATCGACACGGGAAAGAACTTCCGCGAGTTTCAGGGCCATACCAAGGGCCTTGCGTGCTCACAGTTCTCCGAGGATGGGCGGTATGTGGCGTCTGCCGGCAATGACAAGGTGATCCGCATTTGGGATGCCAACACGGGCGAGTGCTTGCGAGAGATGAAAGCGCACGATAATCTCGTGCGCAGCCTGCACATTGACTCGGTATCCGGGCGTTTGATTAGCGGGAGCTACGACACGGACATCAAAGTGTTCGATATGGAGACTGGCAGGCAGCTGCTCGACTTCCCGAAGTGGCACGCAAGTTGGGTGCTCAGCGCCAAGAGCGACTATCGTCGCATTGTAAGCACCGGCCAAGATCCGAAGATTCTCGTCATGGACTTCGGTGCTGGCGTGGAAGGCATTGAGATGCTGGAATCCTCCAGAGGCGAGAAACAAGCACAAGTGACTGCAATTGCCGAGGAAGACGAGAACTACATTTAATGCTCTCGTGATATTTAATTCTAATTTATGGTTGCATACACTACAAGATATGTTGGAGGCCACACTGATGCTCGGTTAGCTGGTCTGCCGTTAGTTCATCGTCATTACATCACGAATTTCTTTGTCATGACCGACTTAGTCGAAACAAATTCTTGCATCTTTTCGACTAGATGATCTTCTGGAGGGTTAGGGGAAGGGAACACGGGCATTGGAGAAGGGTTAGCCTCTCACGGGGCCTCATCTGGTATATCGAATTGTCCACAGGGATCAATTTGTATTGCCCTACAAGCTGCCAGACCATGGAGTATTATTCTTGGGACTTCTAGACTTGTATCTGGATATCATGCATCGCGAGCGGGAAACTTGCTTCTTGCCTCCTAATTTCCTTTGTTCTTTTTAGCATAAGATATAGACTGCATATTGTCTTTCCATCTAGATAGTCCGGAGCAATAATGGCTAGTTGATTATCTTAAATCTTGACTTGCTCATCTCGGTTCTTAGCCGTCCGTATCTGTTGGCGTTGGCTTTGTCCATCAATGGAGCAATTGTCTTTGCCAGCTTCCTCCGGCTGCTTGTCTAAGTTGTCGTTCCTTCTCTGATGTGGCCACCGCTGCATCAGTGGCGGCAAATGTCCCGGATGGAGATTTTTCTCGACCCAATACAAATTTATGGATACCGAATTCTGCGCACATCGGACGAGATGCAGCATCTCCGGCTACCTATATACTCGTTCCAGAGACGACTTGTTTTGAAGTGTTTCACGGAAGGTCGTTGTGTCTGTGCAGACGGCAACGTTGGCGGATAATCACCGCCGCTGCGGAATGGCAAGATATCACGGCCCGGGACATCGCCGTGCTCTGGAAACACACACCATCTTCGTCCGTCTACTTGATACATAGATCTCGGAGGCAAAAGTTTTGGGCTGGAATCTCGCAGATAACAAACCATCAAAGCAATCGTCAAGTGAAGAAAGATGTCACGGTTACAGCTGCTCCGTGCTGTTCGCTTTCCCTGATACAAGCACGGAGCGTCGTGGGGCGCGGAGAACAATGGCTTCCTGCCGGCAATCACGTATCGAATCATTGACGTACGCATATTGATCAAACCTCATGGAGTCGTCGATCTCGAGCACGAGCGTTTGGGATCGACGAGCAAGGCATATCGAGAGCCCGCCCACTGATCTGATAGAAGCGAGTTATGTTAAGATTCGATCTTATCGCCCGCGGCACAGCATCTACATGGAGCAAAACTCAGTATCCCAACAAGGCAGCGAGTTACTCTTCGCCCTGAGCTAAAGCCCGATTAAGATGTTCTCGACCTTTCTACTGCGTCTTCTGGCCACGGACCGTTTTGGTGGAGAAAACAAAGGCAAGCATCACGTACGACGGTTGACAGCAGGTGACTCTCGACCGTTAGACTTTCATGCATAATTGACCAGCGCATCGAGAGACCCAAAAGACAGCCACGCGAGCCAGGGGGGGGGGAGACACCAAAAGCAAGGCAAATGCAGGAACAGAGCAAGAAGCGCCGCCGTGCCAGCGAATAGGCCCGTTTCCATCAATTTACCTGCGAAGCAAAGCAAGCTATGGCTGTGGATCTACACGTGTACCGCCCAGTCCCGCTTGCCACCTCTTTTGCCCGCCATTGCTGGATGCGGACGAGGGTGCTGGGATGCGCATGAATTTCGATCTTGCTGGCAAATTTATATTATTGCGCGGCGACTAAGAGCAGGACAAGCATGGGGGAGCTTGGCAGAGCACAAAATAAACGATGGTGGTACGGGATGTGGAGGTGGGCTTTTCTGTCGAGTAGAAATTCCCCGCGTGGCGACGGGGTGCAGCGGATCAAACATGCAGTGACCCCTGGGCCAGGGGTCGCGCAGCGCAGAGCGATGCAAGCCACGAATAGGGGACGCCTGCGAGGGATGACTACCCCAGCCTGACTCGACTCGCCTGGGTGTTTGGTGAGGAGGGCGATTGTTTCGAAACACAGGCCGAATTAACCGTCGAGAAGCGTCTGATGTCTGTCTGCTCATGGCCTGGATGCCCCCCTGAGTGAGCTGTCGGTCTGTGCTGGTTATGCGATGGAGCTGGTTGGAGGCTGTGTTCGTTGATTGAGATTGAGGATTCAAGCTGGTCATGAGAGTGTATATTCGCAACGTTGAGACCGGCCTCCATGGTTGTCGCATTGGGAGAGCGAGGTATGTGTGGCATCATTGGGATGGTGGCCGGGCGAGGTCTTACAGGAGACGACCCTTTCATCTATGTGAAGGAGCAACGAAGTGAGTTTGTGGTCACATCGTCAGACGACGACAAGGAAACGCGGTGGATACTGGACTGGTCTGACGAGATGAGCCCGGGGAGAGCTCTCTGTTAGTTGGCTTGCGTTCTCCAGATTCATCGTCAGACCAACGTCGTATCTCGAATGGAGAGAGGCCTTGTACTCCGTAATGTGTACAGATAGTCATGGGCTCGCATCTTACTCCAAGAGTACCAAGTGATTAAACGATATGAAGAGAAAACGAGAGACAAGAGAAAGCCTCCTCCGCCATGAGCTCCCTCCCTCACCTCAAGTCGAGCGCCAGGGTCTCATCTGGCCATGGTCGTGCCGTCCCTGGTCCCTAGTCTACTATGTTAGTAGCAAGATGGATCTATTTCAGGGTCACGTCAGGAAACATTCCTGTCCAACCGATGACATCTTGTCGGCAGTGCCTGAGTAAGAGAAGAAAGGTGAAGTGAAGTGTTTCCTAGAGGAAAGGGCCGGTGGCTTGCTTTACCAAGCAGTAGACAAGCCGCTGGCCGAATGTGACGATCAGTTATCGGACGCCTATCAGTCTCCCACGAGAACACTGTGATCGAGGGGACCGGCCTCCCTCGCCAATTCCCGAGAATCGATGCCAGCCACAGGATGGCGGATGGCCCACCGGCACCTCAAACGCCGCAATCTGCCAGAAGCTGGGCTCGCCTGGGCTTTGCTGGGCTCTGCTGGGTAGAAGTGGGGCTCCTGAGCACACATGCACGTCGTTTTGAAACGGCGCCATCTTCTTTTTCTCTTTCCCTTCTTTGGCTCCCGCCCCTGATGCATCCAATGGACTGCTCCCGCCATGTAAAGTACGGTACGTACTCCCTGTACTCGATTCACTGGTGGGGGAGGCGTCGATGATTGGGACTTTTCGGGCAGCGGCACGGCGCGATTCACATCGACTTACTCTATCCAGTCGCTCGGATGAGCTCATCAGTCTTCCTGTGTTCTGAACAAAGAAGGCTGGAGGAGCAACTCCGCATCAACATCATCGTCATCGTCATCATCACCACCAAGCATCACTGCTGCTGTAGAGCAGCGGATCAGTCTCTTCCAGGTGCCGGCCATCGAATCGCCGCGCTCTGGTTCCTCCGCGAGATCGTCGCAAGTGATCTCCGATGCTTTTTTGGCAGGGCAGGGATCCGAGCCAAACACCTCGCTCCGCGCCCGCACACAGGTGTGCTTCTCCATGCAAGGCACAGGCACTTAGTGTACCCTGCTAAGGGACAGGGTTCTTCTGTGGCTTTGCGCTTGCTGAAAAGTTGGGCTCGGCGGCTGCATTGACAGACGACAGACAGATAGCCCAGAACGACATCAACCCCTGAATTGCCAGTCGATTTGCCCCAATCCGCTCACTGCCGTCCCGCTGCTTGGTCTGGTCACTAATTTTCGTCTGATGCTGCTGGCCTACTGGCGTAGTATTGCTGTGCTCATTCACGACTCACGTTGTCACGTTGCAGGCGTCTCCCTCTTGTGCAGTCAGTAGAGTGCTTTGTACACTACCTTCCTACCTCCTACCTACTTTGTTAGCTTGTTTGAAGATCGTGGCGTTTCTGGCCAATTGTACGTACCTGTAATCCCGGCTCGTGTTTCCTCTGTGCCAGACTACCGGCTGTAGTCTATGGTAGACAGAGACACTCACACTTGCGCCCCATGCGAACAGGTCCCGCAGAAGACAAGCGGTTGCTGCTCTTTGACTCATCTGACGTGGTTTGCCCGCTGGTCAAGTCATCGATTTGTGTTCCAGCCGCTGCTTGTCGCGCTGGGCCCTGATCTTGGCTGTCTTGGGCAGTTGAGCGGTGGTCTTAGTGGCCCCAGTGGTCCCCAGCATTCCTGGCGACGGCGAGCAAGAGGCTATCATGGGCGGCGATGACGAGTCGCATATGGCCCTGCCCCCACCTCAAAGCGCCGATTATTACCCTGCAGACTGTAGAAACAATAGGAAGAATACCAGCAGCAGCAAAAGGAGGAGAGCAGGCGGCGGTAGTGGTAGCGGTGCAGGGTACCGGGATGATGACGAGGCGGCCGGGTCTTCACCCCCCTGCTGGCATGGGCATGGGGAAACAACCGTAATGGTGGTGCAGAAGCAGGAGAACAAGGAGAACATCCACCACCATGCCCATGCCCATGACTATGACCATTTACTGGTACGAGTACATGGCCAAGTCGATGAGGCGGAGGAGGCTGGCCGGGGCCGCACCGTCAATATAAGACATGATGCATCCTCGTCCTTGTCCTCCTCTTGTCCCGAGCCGACCCTCACCACCAAGTCGTCCTCTTCCTTGTCGCCCTCCCGACATCCACCAGATACCGCCTCCCGTTCCGTTCATTTATTTCCTTTCTCCTCGTCAGGTTCAACAGACCGTTTTCCTAGCGACATTCATTATCACGACTCGTCTTCGTCGTCGGCCTTGACTGGTTGTCGTATCCGGAACAGCTCTTCGTCGACTACCAAGTCGTCTTCTGTAAGTGGTGATTGTCCTTCTTCTCTCTCTCTGCCCTCTATGCGAGTTGTGTTTCTGGATGTCGATAGTTCAGGGAGCCATTGCCGCTGCCCGGGTCGCAGCTTCACTCTTGGGAGAGACAAAGGCGAATAACACGGCCTCGAGTGGGTTCCCGTTCACGTGCGTTGCCTTGGGGCGACCAGTCACCCCTATCATATTGCTCATTGTTCTTGATAAACAAAAGAAAGGCGATGCTGTGAATAAAGACACACTCGAACAATACCCTTCTCTATCCCTCAATCCCCATTGTTTATCTCCATTCCCTTTCTCTTTCTTCCTGCATTGTCAAACTCGACCACTCCTTTCGGATTTGTACGACTTGCCTTTAAATTTACCTCCCCCTTTCTCGACGTTTCCAGCACATACCTGGTCTTCATTCTTTTCTCGCCAATATCAAGATCCGATCGAGAAACTACATTCACTGCGATCCCTCAAACAAAACTAACCTCGACGGTCTAGTCTTCAAAACAAACACCATACTTTGGAACACATTTAAGAAGGACATCAACGATTAGCTGGTACTACGTCATGATGGGCCTTCCAACGATCATCACACTCTTTCTCCTGGCCTTGCGCCTTTTCGGGCTCCAAACCCTCGCCGCTCCTGCTCCAGCACCTCAGGCCTCTGCGCCTGCTGCGGCCGCTGGAGGTTTCTGGATGGCTTCTATTCAGCGACAGGGAACTGCAGCGTTTGGCGACTCTGGCTACCAGGTTTTCCGCAACGTGAAGGATTTTGGCGCTGTTGGCGACGGAAGCACCGACGATACTGATGCGATCAACACTGCCATCTCAACTGGCAGCCGATGCGCTGAGGGCTGCGACAGCTCGACCATCACTCCCGCACTCGTTTACTTCCCTGCCGGCACCTATGTTGTCAGCAAACCGATCATTCAACTCTACTACACTCAATTCGTGGGTGATGCGACTAATCCACCCACTCTCAAGGCCGCCGCTGGCTTCGAGGGTATGGCCGTGATCGATGCGGACCCGTACGATGACACCGGTAACAACTTCTGGGTCAACCAGAACAACTTCTTCCGCCAGGTCCGCAACTTCGTCATCGACTTGACTGCCATGCCCGCCTCCAAGGGCGCGGGTATCCACTGGCAGGTTGCGCAGGCGACGTCTCTCCAGAACATCGTCTTCAATATGGCCACGGATGCTGGTGAGGGCAACAAGCAGCTTGGTATCTTTATGGACAACGGATCTGGTGGCTTCATGAGCGATCTGACCTTCAACGGTGGACAGTACGGCGCCTTCTTCGGAAACCAGCAGTACACCACCCGCAACCTAACCTTCAACGGCTGCCAGACCGCTATCTTCATGAACTGGAACTGGGCGTGGACCCTGAAGGATGTCACGATCAACAACTGTGGAGTCGGAATCGATATGGCCAATGGCGGTGCTAGTCAGACTGTCGGCTCGGTCCTTCTCGTGGACAGTGTTATCTCCAACACTCCTATTGGTATTTCTACCGCCTACGATCCCTCCTCCGCTCAGACCAACGGCACTCTGATCCTCGACAATGTCGACATGACCTCCAACGTCCCTGTCGCCGTCGAGGCGTCTACCTCCAAGGCTACCATCCTCGCTGGTAACGCAAAGATCGAGTCATACGTCCAAGGTCGCAGCTACACCCCTGCTGGCGCCGGCAAGGCTGTTCAGGCACCCCAGAACGGCGTTGTCAAGCCGGATGTTCTCCTTGACAGCTCAGGCAAGGTGTTCACCCGCAGCAAGCCCCAGTATGAGACTCTCCCCGCCTCAAGCTTCGTCTCTGTCAAATCCGCTGGTGCCAAGGGTGACGGTACCACCGATGATACCGCTGCTATCCAGAAGGTGCTTGACAGTGCTACCGCGGATCAGGTTGTTTACTTCGATCACGGTGCCTACCTCGTCAAGGATACCATCAAGATTCCCAAGGATATCAAGATCGTCGGCGAGATTTGGCCCCTTATCTTGGCTGACGGAGCTTCCTTCAACGACCAGGCTAATCCGAAGCCCGTTTTCCAGGTCGGCCAGGCCGGCGAGACTGGTTCTGTTGAGATGTCAGACCTCATTCTCGAGACTGCCGGTGCTGCTCCGGGTGCTATCATGATTGAGTGGAATGTCGCCGGAACATCCGCTGGTGCTGCTGGCATGTGGGATGTGCACACTCGCATTGGTGGCTCGGCTGGTACTCAGCTTCAACTTTCCAACTGTGCGAAGAACCCGAACATCACCAACCCAGTCAACACTGACTGCTTTGGCGCCTTCATGCTCTTCCATGCTACCGAGACCGCGTCTGCTTACCTCGAGAACACCTGGTTCTGGGTCGCCGATCACGATCTCGAAATTGAGGCGCACAACCAGCAGATCGACATCTTCAATGGTCGTGGCGTGCTGATTGAGAGCAGCCAGCCGATGTGGCTGTACGGTACTGCTTCCGAGCACAGTGTCTTGTACAACTACCAGCTCACCAACGCCAGCAACGTCTACATGTCACTCATTCAGACCGAGACGCCTTACTTCCAGGGCAACCCGGACGCGAACACGCCGTTCACTGTCAACGCCAACTTCTTTGACCCCTCGTTCACGGACTGCACGGGCGACGCATGCGCGCGCTCATGGGGTCTGCGCGTGGTGGATTCATCAGACGTGTACATCTACGGCGCGGGCTTGTACTCGTTCTTCGACAACTACGACCAGGTGTGCCTGGAGACGGAGAGCTGCCAGGACAACATGGTCTCCTTCGAGAACAGCCAGGTGCACCTGTTTGGGCTGAGCACCAAGGCATCCACCAACATGTTGACCGTCAACGGGCAGAGCGCTGCGCTTGATAGCGACAATCGCAACAACTTCTGCGCAACGTTGGCCTTCTTCGCGAGCTCCTAGAGGGTGCCTCACGGAGGTGGGCCTCCGCAGCCATACCATGGCGGCGGCGGTGGAAGTTGCAGCGCTGCTTAGACGACTGGCGGCATATAGGAATACACATTCCTCCTACACTCATCTTCTCTCCTTCAATTCTACTACTTTACTTCTTCTTCTTCACCACTTTTGACCCTAGAGGTCACTTTTAGGGGGCGGACTGGATTTCGGCATGGATACAAGACAGGAATACCTCTTGAGGGGACGGGAGTTCCGGGCACAGGATAAACAAAAAACAATGATTTGTCTGTCTGCCTGTCTTGACGGGCACGGTTTTGACATTGAGAACATACATAGTTGCATGATACCTCTTGCTGGCAGCCCCTCGACTTTCGAGATGGCCTGGCCAGCATTGCGACTCACAGTGTAGCTGTGGGGAAAGTACATACATGGAATTTGACTTGTTCTGAAACAATTTCCTGATTTATTATTACCATTGAGCCCGAATCTGTGATGGTCTTGACATACTTTTGCATCGTGATTCTTACCTAGCTCCGTACCTGAAGTTGTGAGCGGCTGGGATGAGTGCCTCGGCATGGCGGCGGAAATGCCCGCGCCGCCACCACCAGAAAACCCACTAAGCTCTAATTACTGGGCCTGGCAGATGCACACGTCATAGCTGGATGGCGGTTCAGTGCGGGCAACTTGTCCCCAATACAAGCCTTGAAATGAAGCTAGGAGATTCAAAAAGAAGCATCTCGTTCGTAAACAACTTCTGCCTCGGTGGCCACCTACAACACCCTGCTGTGGCATGACTGCCTTATAACACGATTCAAGACTGTGCTCATCCTCTCCTCACTATTCATTACTTCTCCCTTATGTGCTAAGAGCATCTCCTCCTCTCCTCTACACCATCATGGACAGCACACCGGCGAGAAACACACGATCTCGATCGAAAATGTCCACTCCCACGCCCAACGGCTCCTCGCCCTCTGCCACTGCCGCTGCAGCAGCAGAAAAGGTGACGACGCCCATCTCGAACGCCGCAAAGGCCCGCAATCCGCCCTTCCTGCCGACACCGCTTGAAGCCACCTTCCTGGCCGCCTACCCGGTACTCCTGGTCTTCGGCACGCTCTTCTCGCTGCTCTCGCCCGACGTGCGCAACGCGCCCTACGACGCCTTCACGCAGACGCACCAGCAGGACCCAGCGCTGGCGCCCTCGTACTTTGCGCGCAAGAACAACCTGTTCAACACGCTGTTCGTCAAGCGCGGCTGGGCGTGGATCACCGTCGCCTTCGCGGCGTTCGCGCTCACGCACCCCGCCCTGGCGGCGGCCCCCCAGCGCCGCGTCAAGGCGGGCGTCCGCTGGGCGCTCGTCACGGGCTGGTGGTTCTTTGTCACGCAGTGGTTCTTTGGCCCCGCGCTCATCGACCGCAGCTTTCGCTTTACGGGGGGCAAGTGCGAGGTCGCGCGCGTGGAGGTCGAGGAGGGCGACCCGAGCAAGGCGGACTTCGTGACGGCCGTGGCGTGCAAGGCGGCGGGGGGCAGATGGAGCGGCGGCCACGATATCAGCGGACATGTGTTCCTGCTCGTCCTGGGCAGCTATTTCCTGCTGCAGGAGGTGGGCTGGGTGTATGTCAGCTGGAGGGGCCGGCGCCGAGAGGAGCGGAGCGTCGTGATGCACGACGGCGCGGTCAAGAGCGCGTCTGTCGAGCGGACTACGGACGCCACGGACACGACTGGTGATGCGTTAGGGGTTGGGGCCAAGTTTGCCGGCGCGGTGATTGTACTGAGCTGGTGGATGCTGCTCATGACAGCAATTTACTTCCATACGTGGTTCGAGAAGGTGAGTCTATTCTGCTGGTCATATATCTACTTGGAATATCTGCTAACTGCTGTTATAGTTGACTGGTCTTCTCGTCGCATTAAGCGGCCTGTACTCTGTTTACATCCTCCCAAGGTTCATTCCGGCTCTGCGAAACGTGGTTGGACTACCAGGCGTCTGAGAAGAGAATTGGGTTTAGGGATTAGGAGACTTGGAAAACATGAGAATGCCAGAAGAAACGGCATGAATCAAATATGTATATAGAATAATACCACGCCTTTTGACAAGATTTTGTGTATTGTGCAGTGTCCTCTGTGCTCTAATGTGGCCCGTGCACCACCAAGGTTGTGACATCATTTTGATTGAAGCTATTCAGAACTTGGACTTGGCATCAGCTCTTACGCGTTTCTAGACGGTTAACAGTAGGAGGAATGTCGACAAATATGCCTCCGGTAAAAGTGCCAAGCAATTTGCCAGATCTTGTAAAGTCCACCTTTGCCAGAGCGAAGGCCAATGGTGACCTGAATTACTATCCGACGCAGGTCGCCATCCTTACACCGACTCCCATACCAGTTAGCCCTCTGCATTGCTCGGCATGCGAAGTCTAGTCAATACTGATGCGCTATCTAGTTTCAGCTCCGCTTCTCGCCAGCCTTGGCCAACAAGCCTGAGAAACCGGAGGTGAGATCCGGTTCGACGAAGCCGTTCAATCCATTCGAGAACCCCACGACGCTCCTCGTTACGCCCCTCGACCCTGCGCACAACCTTGTATTGAACAAGTTCGCCGTCGTCCCTGAACACGCGATCCTTGCTACCAAAGCCTTCAAGCCCCAGACACATCTACTGGAAGCCGACGACCTAGCCGCTACGTATGCCTGTATCGAGACGTACAATGCCGATGCCGGACAAGAATTGTACGCGTTCTTCAACAGTGGCCAGCATTCTGGTGCGAGCCAGCCTCACCGACACATACAGCTACTTCCAGTACAAAAGATGCGCGAAGGGCTAAATACATGCGAGGGCGGAGACACATGGTCTGTCATGGCAGACCGGCTTGTCGGGGAGGACGCGGCAAAGATACCGTTCAGAACATTTGCTGAGAGGCTGACTTCTGGGATTGACGCCGAAACTCTCCATGGAATATATCTCAAACTATATAAGCAGGCATGCCTGTCGTGCGGCATAGCGACGGGGGCGGAGACTGGTGGCGAGGCGAAGATCAGCTACAACATGGCGATGACGCGTAACGCGATAGTGATCTTGCCGCGGTTGGCATCTGGAGCCCCGGTGGTCATTGGCGAGGGGAAGGCACCGCACTACGTGGCATTGAATGGCACTGTTCTCGCGGGCACAGCGTTGGTGAAGTACCCCGTAGAGTGGGAAGCATTACGGAAGGACCCTTCACAACTACTCGGTATCTTGGCGAAGATAGGGGTGCCAAACAGCTAGGACGGCTGATGAATATTGGCGACAAGTACATCTATCGAGGAGTAAACTACAATTACACATACGTAAAAGGCCGACCAAGGTTACACGCGTACGCACTGAATAGCTTCAGGCAAAGAACAGAACCAACAAGAATCACACGCGCGCACTGTTACCGTCCTCTTCTCTCCTCCGCGAGCAGTGTGTCCCAACGCCTCCGACACGTGGTATTACCAAAGTGATACGATCCACCATGGTCAACAATGTAATCAGCAACCTGCTTCCACGGGATCTTGGCGGCGGCCGGGTCGTTGCCCTTCGCGAGCTTCCGCACAGCCTTCTTCAGCAGCCGATCCTGTGTCGAGCAAACCCACGATCAATATCTTTGGCGTGCACGGCGGGTGGAATAGCAGAGAGCTGAAGCACTCACATCAATTTCTGCCCATTCGGGCTTGCGCACGCGCGCCTCCTTGTTCTTGGTCAGCGTGCGGAAGCGTCCTCGCAGCGTTGACTCGGCCTCCGTGAAGCCGCCCTTGCGGCGGATCTCCTTGTATGTCATGCCGGCCAGCTTTGACTTGACGAGGAAGTCGTCCTTGAGCGAGCGTTCGTCGCTGCCGCCGGATGGAGGTGGAGCGGCGTTGCAGGACCGTTGCGGTCGTGCAGATCTGGACCGAGAAGTCTTTATGTTGGCAGACGAGCCGTCCTTGTTCGGAGGAGGGGACTGGTCAGCATTTCTCGATCTATCGCCTGGGGCAATAGTCACGTAGTGAGGTTGAGGGGCCCTGTCAGGCAACTGCTTCCGGGTGCGGTTGCCATCCGGGTTATGACACCTCGTAGAGCCCTGCGCCAGGTCCAGATGTGGTGTTTCATAAGACATGACTGCCGAGTCCGAATCGCCACCGGCAAAGAAGCTTGTGTGAATCGACTCGACGGAGGATGTTGGCGTCGGCGTTGGGTGGATCCGAAGTTGCTTTGGGGAGACAGTTGCCTCCGCCCTGATGGCGCTGGACCACGGGGGAGAGTCAAGGGCAAATGATGGCGCAGGCATGCCTGGATCGCACATGCTCGCAGTCCAGGGGTTACGAGCAATCTCTTGCCTGAGGGCCATTGACTCCATCATGTCGATTGCCCCAGCAGACGAGAAGCTCCCACATGCTGGTGTAGGGCTATGAATTGGGTAGTCGAGAGACAAAGAGGGCATATGCAGCCCACCTGATGAGAAGCTGGAGTTGGCATAAGGCAAGCCGTGGATGTTTTCATTGAATCCAAAAGGATCGGTGATGCCTTGAAGCACGTTCCAATTGGTTGGGCTGTTGGCGGACGACGAGAAGCTGTGATCCGTCGGGCTCGAGGTCCAGAGGGATTCGCTATCTGAGATGCGCTTCGGTGGATAGTACGGGCTTGAGGGTCCATAATTTGTTGAAGCATCATGCGAGGCATATGGCGTGCAGATGGAGTCTCGTTTAGACGGCAAGCTATTCACCCCTGAGAGGCAGTCGGAATAAGACCCGTCCAACTATTCCATGACCATCAGCCACCTCCATCCTGAGATATGAAGACAAAGAACCGACTTACTGGGAAATCGTGGCTTCCGCTCTGAAACCATCCGTCGTCAGAAATGACAGCCTGTTGCCGGGGTCTCAGCCCTCCCGGGATACTGAATCCACCACTGTTTGACATCGCCAATTGTCTGTACAGTAAGATTCGTGCGTATCTTTCCTCCGGGCTCATGCGAAAGACATCTGATGAAGGCGGTTCAGGCCAGAGGGCCCTGGGCATTGACGTGTTGATAAACATCTCGATTACTTGCAGAGAGAGAAGCTCGCTTCGCCAGTCAGTCTCAGACACCCTTCTTTCTGATCTTCACCGCTGCTTCTAGCTGCCTTCTGCGCGTGTCTCGTGATAGGATGTCGTCTTCCCGCCTTCTATGCCCCGCTCCGGAGTAGAAGAGGAGGGAAGGATGTTGTCTGTTCTGGTAGGCGGTCAAGGCTGCAGCCCTTGGTACCGATGCAGGTTCTGTGTATGCTCCCGTCAGGGCGAACAGTTGGGCAGAGCTGCGCTGGGATTGAAGCCCGATAGTCTAAGTTGGTTGGCACAGCTTCACTGCATGAGAGTCTCAAACAAAGCTGTAGGTGGCGATAGAGTCTATCGTGCATCAATTAGAGGCTCCACCTTGAGCAGTCGATGCATCAGGTTTGAATATCCAATATGTTGCAAAATAGAAACAGCTTCAGCTCAGCAAGACCTCTGAGGTATAGATGAATCCGTCGGGCTGAATAACTACCAAGTCTAGCTTCATAGTGCATTATCAGGACTTGGAAAGCCATGAGGTCTGCAGGTCTAGTGTTATACATATCCTCTCCGGGGCCGCCAGATAGGTACGATGGCCCTTGCTTCATTGTTCCCTTAGACATTGCTTCAGTTTTGGGATGGTTGCCTCCCGTTGTTTTTACCTCACGCGTGGGGCATCCAGGATCTGGAGCGGTCTCCACGGATGGTCCGCAAGTACAAGGCCAAAAAGGTCGTCAAGATTACTCGAATCGTTACGGCCAGCGGGCCTTGATCTATCGTGATCGCGTATCCGCCGCCACAATGCTTTCCTCGAGATTCTGGCCGTGTCTGAGCGGACTACAGAAATCTGGTTGTCATATTTCACCACGGAAGCCTGAACCTGAGATGCTATCAAATGGTTTTATTGTGGGGTTGAGATTTGGGGATGCCCGGAAGGCCAACTAGCATGGCGATCCGGAACGTCCGTTACACCTAGTCACGGAAGGCTCTTGCGGATAGTCACACCAGACTACGCTGCAGGTAAACATGTTCGAACGGTTTGGTGAAGGTTAAAACATGAGGGGCGAACCAATGTTTGTTCACAGATGAAGGTACGTAGCAAAATTTGTCCTCGACATAGGCCACCGGCTAAACGGTAGACGGGTAACCGCATGGTAAACTCCCTAAGGCGGCACTTGACCACATCAGCAGAGGCTGTGATTTGATGACTTCACTTGCATTGCATGATCTGTCTTGCATCCAGGCCCAAGACTTCAGGAGCATTAATCATCTCTGTTACCTGGCTCCTGGATTGTTACTTACGCGACCAGCTCTCTTGCACATCTCGCCATTATGCCAACCACTTTGTCGAACGAGTTTACAAAATTCATCTATCGTAATCCTTGAAATGATCCTTTGAGCGTTATTAACAATGTTAGCATGAGGCTCTTACTCGAACGTCTATCGGATTGCAAAATCTGACAGACCAGGCCCCCTGGCACCCACACGTGGTCTCCTTTCCTTTTCCAGATCACCATGCATCCGCCGTGACGGCAATCAAATCTGCAGAGCATGGTAGATCCTAGATCTTGCAGGAGCCCTACCTTACCAGATACATGAAAGCCGTCGAATGAACTGGACCACATCTATTCTTTCTACCTTGAGTCGCCTCAGCGTCCAGGTTACTGCGACAAACGGTACAAACATGTTTCATTCTCGACGCCACAACGTGCTTACCCAGGATCAACCCCTGAGATAACGCTTAACTTACGTCACTATCCCTGTTAGCCTGGTTGAGTGCTGTGGTCCATGCCGGAATGAAATCTCAACGGGCCGAGATACGTTGTCTCATGAGTCTTTCCGCGGCTTGATCACCCATTATTTTGACACAGAATCGATGATCAAATTTTCAATAGATGCCTGCTCTATATGAGACGGAGTAGATATTAGCTAGTACTGTAAACCCTCGGTGAGAGACCAAGCAGACCGCCGACAGCCCCAGACTTTCCTTACAGGCACCCTACACGCACGAGCCAGCAGAATTGAGGTATAACCATCCGGAAGAGACCGTAGGGTCAAGGTCAGCATGTTTGTGTCACAGCCGACTATTAAGGATCTTGCCAAGAGCCCAAACCGACTAACAATGCAGACAGTCAGGGCTTTTCTATCACATATCATAACCAAAGAAGCTCTAGAGCGGCCGTCAGAAGGGGGATATCATTTTCCCAAACAAAATTCCCCAAAAGGAGTATCATCGTAATATTATTGAGACAGCTTTGCGGGATTGTTATGTCGGGTGTGTAAGTGTGGTATGACCAGCTGCCAGCAATGTCATCAGAAAGGAGGGAGGCTTAATGTCCCCACAGGCACTAAGATCATGCTGGAGGAAGTTCATTGGATATGGATGCGATTCCCAGCACGCAATTCTAGTTTCAAAGACGCCTAGTCGCCACAGCTTCCCCGCTAAGTCTAGGCTGCTGCTGTCCCTATTGGATTTCGGTGCGCGTGCACCCTGCCTCTTGCATGCCAATGAGACCATTCCCACCATGCAACGTGGATCCATCTAACCGGAAAGCTGTGCCAATGTCTTCAAGTATCCGCCTTCTTCAATTTCGACGTGGAGAATGTTGTCATTCAAACAGCTTCTGTTCAGGATCACAGTAGTTTTGCCCGTGACTACCCGCATGCTTGATTCAACATCAGATGCGGACAGACGGGCTCGCCACTAACCAGGTGGCGCCGCTCGTGCCCCTTAACATTGCCATTCTCCTCAATTCTTATCGCTCTCGATTCATCGCAGCTATCCGAGACTCGTATGTGCGGACGATTGGAGCTGTCTCGCCGGATTCGAAACTCAACTTCTTCTATCCGGTTGAGAAAGACGACTTTCCCGACCCAGATGAGTTTGACCTAATCATCATAGGCGGTAGCAATGTCGATCCGCGGCAAAATTGGCCATGGATGCTACGAATGCATGCTTTCATCCTCGATTTGGTGAAAAATTATCCTCGGAAGAAGGTTTGCGGGATCTGCTGGGGTCATCAAACTATTGCTCGAGTTTTCGGTGGAGATATTGCCGAAATGGCAGTACCTGAGGTGAGGATGCACAAATTTACTTGCTTCAACTGCTGTCAATATCGCTGAAAGTATGTAGCTAGGGGTGATCGAGATTGATCTGACAACTGCGGGCGCAAAGTTCTTTCCAACTGCAGCTCGCAAGTGTCTCAGAATTCAGCAGCATCACCGCCGAGAAGTATCTATCATGCCAAAAGGATTCACCGAGTTAGCTCATCAGAGACAGTGTCTTGTCAATGAAGAGAATACGATCCTCACATTTCAAGGACATCCTGAAAAAGATGCTCAGACTGCTAGACTGAGAATTGCAGATTCAGAAAGATGGTTTGGCACCAGTTTGCAGGATCATCATGCTGTCACATGTTTCGTGACAGCCTTAGAACGTGAGGATGATGGGAAAGAAATCTGGAGAAGGATACTAGTTTGGGCAACCGAATGACCTACTGAAGAGTGAAAGACTAATTCAATTATATTTTGCCCATGTCTTATTCGTCTGGGTATCTGCACTGGTCTCGTCCAGTGTATTACATGTTCCTGTTGAGTCTATTATGGATATCGGTGGTTTGAACTGTGGGAAGTGACTCTTCTATCCCATTTCAACTGGTTGTCTTTGCTTCGGGAGCAAGGGTGTGCCTTAACTCATATATGCTGAGAGAATCAAGTGTAACTTCTGTATTTCCCGACTGATAGGCATATGGGCATTTGTTAAGCATGTATAGAAACATTGAGTAGTTTGAGGCAATTGAAGGAGCAAAGACGGGAACAACCAGTGAACATTTACAGCAATGAGGTTGTGAACAGGGATGATGGATAATGCCGCGATTCATTTACCGAAGTCTTGTTTCTTCGTCAACTTCAGCCGAGCTCTTCCCCGCAATCAAAATCTGGGGTGCATAATGATATAACATCGGTTTCACTATATACAGCTTCGGAACCTCGAGCTTAGGTGCTAATTAGCCGCACGGGAGTGGGTTGTGTGGCGACAATGATGAAATGCATTAAACCAAGGCTTTGTCAAAGTTGGGAGACAAAATTTGTGCCAGAAGAAGTAGCTAAGACAGCATCACAGAACGATGAAGTTTCTCAAAGCTGTGAGAGTATTTTGTCTTTTGAGCGGCGTCGGATCTGTTGCCGGCTTACAGCCAGCTGTCACAATCACGGATATCGCCCGCGATCTTCAGCGCGTTGAAGCGGTACGTGAAATCAAGGATGTCCAGCGTACATTCGCGCAGATGGCCCAGTTCGGTAAATGGAGCGACATGGCGGCCTTGT